ATAGCAGCCAGGGAAAATGGAGAAATTCGGCTCTACGTTAGCTAAATAGCAAATACCGCAAAGCGAATGATCGATCGGAACCAGAATGTGGGCAAACAAGACCTCAGAAGCCATGAAGAAGGTCAAAAAAGCATGCAACTAGAATATAGTTCAACATCGTCTTTTAGAAGAAAAATCAACCACAGCGCACAAACGAAAATGTTTCCCGAACTTATCCTCTTTATAGCAACGAGATTCAGATCTCGCATGACCAGTATTAAACTGGAACACTCACCCATCTGCAGAACCAGAAACGAAGTGCTCTTCGTTCAGCATCGCCACACAATCCATACTTACACAAGCAGAGTAGCCGTTGAACAGCTGAAAAGAAAAAACAAAGTGAAGCGCCATTCTATGGTTCAACGTCACAAATGGAAAAATTGGTGTCCTTAGTCCTCGGGCATAGTTCACGCGATTTCATCGTCGCGATTCATCGCGACAAGACAAGTGCTATTTCATGTCGATCTTCTTGTCTGTTGTGATAGCTTCCCGATACGACTGACTTTGACTAACCATCACAACCGAAATACAAGAAGGGTCGAAATGCGTGAACTTTGCTCGAGGCCTTACGGTGCCCAAATATGTTAAAGAAGTTCAACAAGTTTTTACCAGTCGCTTCCAGATTTACGCTCTAATCACAATTTTGAGCGCAGCGCATTTATAAAGCTCAATAAATATTTGTTTATTCTTTTGTCTGTCTGTGAGTCTGTCCGTCCATATACAATGACCGCCAAAAAGTTGCGGACAAGCCCCTCTCCCTTTTTCATCGCTCTTTTTCAGAGGGAAAACAAAAATGAAAAAATGTAATAATTGCATAAGGTGATAGAGCTCTTCAAGCTCTACAATATACACTTTGAGCTTTTTGAGAAACATGTATTCTAAAAATTTTAAGAATCTTTTTCTAAAAAAAGTCCGAAAATAGCCGCGTCACAATGTCGCGGACAATAATTCTTCGAACGCAAAAATTTTCTTTTGAGTTTTATTTTGAGGCAGAAACACAAGTTATCCGGACGGGTAAGCAAACAACTATACAGAGCTCGTCAAGAACTACACACTGGTTATGGCTGCTTCCCAGAAAACACAAGCTTGAATTTTATTTTGCTTCTTTTCAAAAAACAACTTCTAATTCCCTGCTTCAAGCCAAATTTCTTCACATGGAAAACCATGCAAGACATTCAAACAAAGTTATTCGGATAAAATGGATGCCCTTTGCCATCTTCTGTGCATCGGACGTGTGCTGGTGAGTTTCTTTGCTGAAACTGGCTTCTGACAGTGCGTGTACATGATCCCACCTGCACCTCACCACTGACTTGTACCGCTTTGCAGGCTTGTAACTCGGCTTGTAGTCAATGTGTGAGCCTGCAATTAGGCTCTTTCGAAAGAACGAGACTTCCTTTACACGATGGTATGCAAAATAGATAAGTATAAGAAAGAGCGGAGATTTGGCGGATGGGGTGGAAAAATGCGGCCTCAGTGGTGGTTGGAGTGAAGGCTCTTATCAACACCAAAACAGTTCTAGAGCTTCAAAATGGATCTATTACAAGAACATTGACAGTTTTAAGCTTCCAGGATTGAACTGGTAGCGAAAGAAGCTCTATTCAACTTTAGCTGGATATCCTCACCCTACCACTGAGTCCGCATTTTTCCACCCCATCCGCCAAATCTCCGCTCTTTCTTATACCCATCTCTTTTGCATACCATCGTGTAAAGGAAGTCTCGTTCTTTCGAAAGAGCCTAATTGCAGGCTCATACATTGATTACAAGCCGAGTTACAAGCCTGCAAAGCGGTACAAGTCAGTGGTGAGGTGCAGGTGGGGTCATGTACACGCACTGTCAGAAGCCAGTTTCAGCAAGAAAACTCACCAGCACACGTCCGATGCACAGAAGATGGCAAAGGGCATCCATTTTATCCGAATAGCTTTGCTTGAATGTCTTGCATGGTTTTCCATGTGAAGAAATTTGACTTGAAGCAGGGAATTAGAAGTTGTTTTTTGAAAAGAAGCAAAATAAAATTCAAGCTTGTGTTTTCTGGGAAGAAACCATAACCAGTGTGTAGTTCTTGACGAGCTCTGTATAGTAGCATGCTTACCCTTTTGGATTACTTGTGTTTCCACTTCAGAATAGGACTCAAAAGAAAATTTTTGCGTTCGAAGAATTATTGTCCGCGACATTGTGACGCGGCCATTTTCGGACTTTTTTTAGAATAAGTTTTTTAAAATTTTTAGAATACATGTTTTTCGAAAAACGCAAAGTGTATATTGTAGATCTTGAAGAGCTCTATCACCTCAAGCAATTACTACATTTTTTATCCTTGTTTTCCTTCTGAAATAGAATGATGACAAAGGGAGGGAGGCTTGTCCGCAACTTTTTGGCGGTCACTGTACGTGTATAGTGGAAATCTTCACTTCAACTAATTGCACCACTACTGCACTAGGACTGTAGGTCTGACTTTTTGATTTTTAGAAGTTTCCTCGTGTGACAATGGAACCGCCGCCACGGATTGCTCCACTGTACATGGTAAAAGGGTTACAGCCACTGATTTTAACTTTGAGTTAAAAAGGGGAGCGTGTGGGAGGAAATATGCTGATTACGAAAGTAACACTCAATTTGAAAACTGACTGTTGTACTGATTTCCACTACAAACTTCGAACTGGAGCGCTAGGAGTAGGTACGGGAGGAGGGGAGGAACGAGAAGTAAGTCAATATGCTCACCATGAAGATTGGGACACGGAGCCGGCATATAGAAGCGGAACTAAGTTCTACACTGCTATACCCGACAAAAACCGGCATTGGGTATGCCAACTAGTGATATTGAAAACACATTGCTATTAGGTTGGGAAGAAAAAAATGTCGCTTTTTTTTTTGAGATTTTCAGCTAAAACTGGTATTTCTCAGAAACTAGAGCATATCGAAGGCCCGAATTTCATGATTGCAGCCTCGAAGGTTTGCAGTACACGAAATCATTTACATGTGAAGCCCGGGACTTTTAGAGGTGGAGTTTGTCATTTTCGTTATTCAATTTTTTCTTGATTTTCAAAAGCGAAAAAAAAAATGGCAAGTGCACATATGGATAAGTGCATGTCGTGCATGTGTCTGCTACATGCTGGAGCAAGTGAGAGATTCTGAAATTTTTTGGGGGCGCAAATCCAGTTTTTGGCACTATGAGTTGCTCTTATGTTTTGGCTTTGAACTTTGGGCAAATCACGGCTTAAGCCAATGACCAAATGTCATCTTGCTGGGCTTGCTTTTCTCTATCGAATGGTACCCTTCAAAAAAATTTTTTTCGATTCGTCCGTCAAAAACGGCATTCTTTTCTTTCCAGCCTGATTTACTATCTGACAGCCTGCTAAGACGTTAAAGCAAAAAAAGCAGAAAACTCAGCAATATGAAGAGTTGAAGGTAAAAACGAGCAGGTCACTCACTAGTTGACTTTCGTCCTCAACTTTCCACAAACGACAACTCCGATCTTGCCTGCCAGCTGTTACTACACGTTGTTTCTGCAAAGAGCTAAGCGCAACGACCGCATCTTGATGACCGTACATAGTGTCAACCATTCCCATTTGGTCCAGATCCCATAACTAGACAAAATTCAATAGTTGATGGGTATTATAAGCACCAATTCCGACAAACTAGCGCAAACAAACCTTCACAGACCGATCGCGACTGGCACTGAACAAACAGTTTGTTTTGAGTTGAAAACACAGTGCTGTTATGGGGGCTCGATGGCCTTTGAAGTCCCGAATATGCGCTAACGTTGTGAAGTTCCAGATCTAATAACGATGTTTTCTACAGGAAGAATTATCAACAAGAAGAAATCTACAGCTACATATAGTACAGTAATCTCAAAAGTAAATTCATAAATTAAACGGTCAAGTCACAAAAATACAGAATCAAGAGATTTCTAATCGATCAAAGACTAACCTTAAGAACGGCATCATGTCCGCCGGATGCAATGTATTTTCCATCAGACGATATGGCGACAGCAAATATGTGACCGTGATGTGCGCTCTGATCTTCTCCACCAATCTTTGTCCGCCTTATCGTTCCAACAATCTTCCGAAGAGTTATGTCATCTGGAAAAGATCAAATGATTCCGCTAATATACCTTGACATGCGCCTACATTTAACTATGCTTGACTCCTTCCCACAACTAATAATATACCTTCCATCGGGGGAGATAGCAACACACAAAGGAGTAAACCTAGAACAAGTTGATCACTGCAAAAGGACTACGTGGGGCAAGTACAAACCTATGCCCTCTATGTGAGATTTCCTCCTCGTCGCGCAGCTCTGCTAAGTCAGCTAGCTGCCTTCGCAACGTGCCTGCTTTTACTGCTGCATCTTCCTTCAGCGTTTCTCCAATTTCTTCCTCAGTTTTGCCGCTTTCCTTGAATAGAAAAATTGTAGATTCGACAAGAATGTAATATGTGAGAGTCCAATGATTAGGAAAGAAGTAAACTTACATGTAATTTTTGCAAATATTCCTTCGCTTTAATACGGGCAATATCTTCAATTTCGTATTCGCCTTCGCTGGCTTCCGATATTCGGTCATCTCCTCTCACTGAGACCTAAAAGTAAACAAGGCTGCTGGGAAAGATTCAGTGACTTACATACCTCTTCCTCATCAGAGCTTATTTCAGTCCTTTCCATCATCCGCCGTCGTCGAGATAATCTAGCCTCTTTATCATCACCATCTTTGAGACCCTTTAAATGACTTGGAACTGACTAGATTTGGTAAAAATATTGTGATACTTACTCTCTTTGTAGCAATTTTCTTCCTCGGAGGACCTTTCGTCGACGATAGAAAAAACGCTGGCATGCTGTGTCAGAGTTTTGTAAGTTACACCATTTGCAAATATATAGAGAGAAAAATAATAAGAATATATAGAGAGAAGTAATGATTACAGACAGGTGAGAACCATTAACCAATAGTAAATTTTAAGATCAAAAAGATTTATTTGAAGAGTTAAAACAAGATCAGTGTCCAACCGTGTGTATGATGTCAAGCCAACATAGTGACTATCAACTCGATAACGACTTCGACGGTGATTTGTTCTAAATAAGCATTGCGCACTGACAGTAAATTCAATGGGAATTGATCATAGAATCACAGACACTAACAATTTTGCCGCCGTTGGGCAGCTAAAAGTCATAAAGCCCAAACAGACGACACTAGAAAAGAACTCAGAGGGCTCGAAGAAAAGAAAAGCCGAAAGAAGATTGATACTGACTCCCTCTCACAGTCTGCAAAACCCCTCTAGCTCCTGTTAAATTTTCAATAATCGGTGCAAAACATGAGAAAATCAATGCATAAGAAGACAGAGACATTATGCTGGATATGAGTAAAGCATTCAAATAACAAATAGTAAAGCCCATTTGAGAAATGCACAAGCAGTAAGGTGTAACAACTTGCTCTAGTAACTAACCTTCAGTAGATCTACAACCGTCTCTGATAACAAATGCGCCTTCAGCAAAAGGTTTCTCATGATCTTGAAACTTCTACCATTAGTTTCAATCCATTGCTCGATAACTGCTGAGCAGCATTCTTCATTCTGAAAGATTATATGCTTGAAATAAAAAAACATGAAAATTTAATATACCTCCAACCCAGTTATCTCCAAGCTTAAAAACTCACCGTTTTCCCTTTAATATCATCAATTTTCTTGCTATTCATCTCCATTGCTTCAGCCAATGACTTCCATTTGGGCGCTAATATAGTTGATAATCTGGATATGGTTGCATCACTTAATTCATAATCCGGACTGGGAGAAGCGCTTCTGGAAGACATGCGTATGATAACTTGGAATAAGCAGATGGAATTCATACCCTTCAGCACCGTTTGTTCGATTCCTCATGAGAGACTCTTCAACTGCTCTTTTTGCAAGTCTTTCTTCACGTTCTTGCAGCTCATCGCGAAACTCCTGGATAGTAAGCATAGTGCACGTAAAACGCGAGACCAAAATACACAGACCTCCATTCCTTTCCCTGTTTTCAGTATCACATTGTCCAAAAACGTTGGGATACTGAGGGTCTGCTGAGACTGAGCGGATATATACTGCGAACTCTCCGCCATTAAAAGTCGACAGGCTCGAAATTGAAAGGCGGGATCTCGAGTGGATCTAAACAGAAATACTGCGGTTAAGGGTATAAAAAGACAGCGAAAAAATTCACTTGTATTGATCTTCTACTTGCTGCTCCGGATCAAGCTCGTCAATAGGATCACGAAGAAAGTCTGCTAGCGAAGGTGCGAATTTTCTAGATCATGAGGTTGACGCATAACGTTAACCGCAAGTTTTTCGAACCTTCTCTTATTCTTGCAAGCTTCTAACAGATTAGGCTCAATGCTCCATAGCTTGTTCAGTTCCGCACTACCCAAATCGATGACATCTGGATTAAACGATGTCCGCGGACGTCTAAAAATTAGTAGAGGAGAATATAATGGAAACAACATTCTTACGACAGCAAAAGCTATAAGAGACAAAATAGTGTCTTCCAAAAATCAACGACGAAAGTGCAGAAGACTGAATGGAAATACGAATGATATGCGTGAAAAAAAACAAGAACGATAGCTGAACTCATGGAGAACTCCCAACTAAAGTATGCAGGGAAAAGATCGACAACAAGTCTGAACTTGAATTGAATTTTCTCAAAACAGCGCCACCTCGTCGCCCGCCCCTCATGAGGCCTAGGGCCTAAGGCTCGCGATTTTCTCGACAAGACAGCTGTTACAAGTTCATTGCATTGCCGTTCATCTTGCATTTCGGTTGTGTTAGTTCTTCGCGATTGGGCGAGTTAAACTATAAATCGTTAAAGGCAATGTCCGGGCAAAAACTCGATTTTGAGATTTTGTGCTTATCTAGGCCTATTCGCCATGCTGAATCCGAAAATCCTCACCGGAAAGCGCGAAAACGGCGAAAAAGGGCTCTACCGGTGGACGGAAATCAGCGAGTGGGCGGGGTCTTCCCCAATGTGGATTCACGCTCCAAGCTTCCGGAGCGATCTTCTCGATTCCAATTTCAAGTCATGCATTCGCACCTGGCCTGTGGAGATCTTAGAGTGCCAGCGGAATTGAGAAGATCGCTCCAGAAGCTGGGACTGCGAAATTCACAGTGGGGAAGACCCCGCCCACTCCTGATTTCCCTCCCACGTTAGAGCCCTTTTCCGCCGTTTTCGCGGTTTCCAATGTGGATTTTCGGATTCAGCATAGTGAATACGCCCGGGTATGCACAAAATCTCAAAATCGACTTTTTGCCCGGACACTGCCTTTAAGCGAGATGATGGATGTGCTCGTCAGTCGTCCTGTCGGAAGAATCGCAGACTATAAAATCGCGAGCACTATGCCCTGGCCTAACATGATTCCCGTGAGCGGAACATGACTTGTATCAATCGACTGTTACTCGAGCAGAAAAAAGTTTTAGCGGTCTAAGTACTAAGAAAAAAAAGACTGTATTAATGTGACTTGTTACATTCTACTGTAATTGGAAGAGAAAAAAAAGTTCTAGCGTGTCTATATATATTAAGGAAAAAGGGTGCATAAACGTACTGCTAACTTATGAAGGACTTACTTTTTGTAAGGCTGCATCGGGTGCTTGTCGGCAAGATCTGTCATGGCCGGACATGATTCGCTTTTCCACCTAGCCCATTCCAGTTCACGTTGTAGAATATGCTGAAAAGGAAGACATATCACGAAGCACAACAAAAAATAAGTCGGGTGTAAAATGCCTCGACTCACCTTCACACTTTCTGCAAAATGAGCTCCTCTGGGGTGCGTCTCACGTAGTAGCCGGTAACACTTTTCTTCGCTTTCTTTAACAAACTTAACTTGTTCTTCGGTAAGAGTATTGTTTTTCCTGAAACACTCCTGAATTTGAGAAAGGATCTGATAACGGGAGAAAAGACTTTTGGAATTCACTCAAATTGGAGTACCTGATAATTTAAAGGAAGTTGAAAAAAAACCAACTTACTGTTTCACTTTACTACTGGTCAAGTACTGACAAAGTATGATGAATTGTATCAAGAAGTACCGCCGAAACTGAGAGTCATTCAGCTGCAGTTGTAGAAGCTGTAAATTTCCGAAATTACTTCTTATAAAGCAGCAATCATGCGTTAAACCTACCTTTGGGCTTGTCAGATACTTTGCGAAATAAGAGTCAGATTCATCTATTACTTCATGTATACTTTTCACAGCCTAGAATTAAATCCTGAAGGACGAATAAGACTTCTTTAGAGAAGAAAACTGACTGAGGGTCGCTTTTTCCCATTGTCATCATCATCGTCACCAGACTTTTCCAACTTGTAACTTGAAAACACGCTCAATACGTCCGTAGAGTTCTGCAACATCCATATTTCTTATTCTACAGCACACAGCATAACTTGGTTAAGAACACATACCTTTTGGAAAATGGCCCACTGCTGCTTATCGAAACACACAGTGGGATTGGAAAAGAAATCTTGCATCTGCCAGAACATTGAGTACAGTGCATGGTCGACTGGAATATTCACCTCTCTGTAAATGTATTAGATAGTTTCACTGCGTCATCCCATCCATAAACATACTTGGCTTCCTTGATTTCTCCAGTTTCTATCTCTTCGTCTGAACCGCTGATAAGATCTACCGGTTGAGTTTCGGTCTAGAATATTCACATACTCATCCTACACGCCTTTATCAAAACGAAAAAAATCAAAATGTCATTACAACATCGTAATTCTTGAATTTCTATTGTTTTATGAACACTTTCGACTACTTATATGGAAAGACTATAGTCTACTCACCGTATCATACTTTGTTATGTTCTGTGTGTTAAAATGTCCCATCAAGTTGAGGCCAGACTTCTCTCCCAGTGGTAGATATCTGTAAATTTTTGAATGTATCTTGTAACATAGACTAGACTCAAAAGAGTTTAAAGAAAATCCAAAGATGACGAACCTACTAAGGAAAAACAAAATCCTTCCACAAAATGAAGTTTCGGCGCTTCTACTCAACCTCTTTAGAAGATCGTTACACATCCTCAGTATCGGAGTTTGTGATGACTCTACAAGAGGTGACTAAAAGAAATCGAGTTAAAAAAAACATAGCTCGAGATATTCTACGATTACTTCATGCATGAAAATGAGAGTGGAAGCCTCACTTGCTTGAACTGGAACATATTTTCCTCGAGTATTCCAAACAATCGCTCACATCTTCCAATTCCACTCACTTCGAACATATCTTGTAGCGTTTGAACAGCAGTTTGTTTTACACATAATCCTGAACAACATAAAAGTGGAGTTCACTCAGATTTCATAGCAATCTTATCTTCAGTGAGTATCTGAGCATGAAAAGGGATACTAAAAGAAGTTGAAGACCATATCTGCTTCAGAGGGCAGATGGTTGCGAAAAATTCTCTTTTCTTCTTTTTTTTACTTTGTTTTTCAAAAATTAGTCGCTCCATATGGCAAAACCTTCCTCCTACTTCCCATATATCTGTTAATAAATAATATCCTTTCTGATCATATTTTAAGACGGTACGACGCGTTCCTCTGCAAATTCACAGCCACTGAGGAAGCCATCTATAGGTGTCTTCAGCATGCAGTTTACAAATATGCCCATTTCCGAGGTAAGAGCTCCATTGGTTGGGTCACGGTAAAAGTACGATAAAGGGTTGAAATCGAAAATGACCAACTACCTTGCTGATTACGACTACCATATGCCCCTATTACGGTAACGCCTTGCTCGGTAAGGTGTAACACCCATAAAGCAGCACGAACGCGTACTCTGAGGTTTTGAGGCTTCAACAGGCAAACAGCAAATTTCTACTAGCCCTCAGTTTAGCAGACTGTATTACAATCTGGATTTGCACCAAAACTGCAAATTTGCTTGTACAAGACTCTTCTTTTGATTCTCGCATCGTCTTTGCGCCATTTTCGAAGATTTGTACTATTTTCCAAAGCATGGCAGTACAGGCTGTCTCAGTGTAAGTGTCACAGCCTTTTGCGGAGGCTTCGTTCAAGTCTTGCGCCGACAGCCTCTACTGCCACGTATGCTCTTTGCATTCCAATCCTCGCTGCGACACACGCCATAGTTAATCCACTTGATTTACTTGATCCACTTCTTGTAAAACGCCTGTGAGTCATTTGTCATTTGGTGTCGCGCACAGCGGATTTGCACAACAATGCAAGAAGTTTTTTGACCTACGCGATACCAAATGACAAATTCATTATGCCGCGTTTTACATAAAGTGGATCAAGCGGAGTACCAAGTGAATCAACTATGGAGTGTACCTGCTCAGACGTGGGATAACGTCTAGAGCAACGTTCGCGAAGGGCAAAGACACGAACTGCTCAGCCGCTCAGGCCGTGACAATCTCAATAGGATATTCTGCAACGCTTCCACCACCACCTACTGTCACACTGCGAAGGTGGTGCAATCACACGAAACGACAGTTATGGGACGAGAGCACTTTGTAACTGTCTACGCACTGTATACCCATTACTGAAGATCCCTAGAACGGTATTTGAATCGATAATTCAGTATGTACCATTTTTGCAGATGTTAAGTGCGAACTCCAGATGCCGACGCACATCTTCCTCAATGGTTTCATCCGGGCCTCGAGCTATGTCCAGACCTCGTTCACGAAGACGAACTTCAAGAAGTGAAGAGAGGTCTTCTTCACTTAAATATGTACTGAGTTCAAGCAGACAAGATAGAACATCGTTTCTTTTGTAAACAAGTTTTACACTGGAGGGACCTTACCTCACAGACTCCCGGCAACTGGCAAAATAATTTTTCAGCCCTTCAAAGTCACGTTTTCGGACCAACTCTTCCATTCTGTAGTTTGAATTTATAGTCCATTATAACAACAAGTTAACATTATTGATAAAATCGACAAGGACGATTTATATCCAACATTCTGATGATAAAAACTGATTTATATCACACGTAAAAACCGAGTACTGAGTCACATTATGTAAGGGTAGCTATATGAGACGAGATTATCAAATCATAGGCATGAATTTCAGCTCGAATACTGGTTTTTTGCACAAGCCAACAGATACAAACAAGGTGTGGTCTATTCCATCGAATTTGCAGGGCACAATTTAGGAGAAAGGTCATTTGTTTCTCTCAACATCACTATGACCTACAAGCCTCTTTACAAAAAACAGACCAATTAAAAAAACTACTTACAAGGAGAACAATAAAACCTGCATTAAAAGCGGATTGCCAAGACACTCGTCACTCATTTGATCGGGCTTCTACGAAATGCAAGCGATTTATGATAAGCGAAATGTGACCAACAGGATTCGCTACAACACAACCGAACGGCAAACAATAGCAATAAAACCCAGGCGAAATTAAGTTTCAAAAAGTAGTAAGCGCATGATTATTTTCAAGAGACGACAACGTAAGAATGAGAAGCACATTGTGTACGGGATCTGAAAAGAAAGAACTTGGGAAACTGAAATTTTTCGGCATCAAATATTCACCGCTTCGACATATATCCCAACTGACAGGTGTTGCGTAAGGAAACCTTTTAGATGGTCGAGTTATTTGAGAAATCGTGCAAGCTTCTTGCTTTTTATCGTGAATTTGACAATTCTTAAATTCTCAAAGACCGAAGTAGGCCTTGTGAAATTAATTTTTTTTCAGGTTTCTGGCTGCCCTTCCTCCAAAATTTTGGGATTACAAAGCCGTAAAATTTTGAAAGGAACCCTACAGTTTTTTCAAAGTGTGAACGCCACACCCTGCAAAACACTTCTGCTAATCAAAATGACCAAAAAATTCGCCAAAGTCTCATGTTTCGCATCAATGAGGTAAGGGATGAAGTGTTATTTATTGGTATCTTCATCGCTTTCACGGACATGAGTTAAAGCCAATAAAATGGTATTCTCAACCGCATTTCAGCCTCTATCGTTATCTTCTCCCTTTGGAAACTTTTTTCTTTAACCTTTAGGATTTCTTATGGGCTTCCAGAGCAATACAAAAACGTTCCTGAGTTTGATCTTCTCAAAAATGCATGTCAAAACTTTGCCGGAATAATTCAAAGATAATTCGAAAAATTCAAAACTGGGATATTCATATGTGATCTACAACGCTTACCACAGAAAATTAATGACATTAGTCAGCTCCTAAACCGGCCAATCTAGACCGCAATTCGGTATGGGTGGCTGGGTCAATAGTTCTCCTCTTTTTCTGGACAGAAGCTGTCATATTCAGCTTCGCTTTCGTTTCATTCAATGTGACGGGCACTGGTATTGCAGCCTCACTACAAAAATCACATATGATTACTAAGCTGCACTATATATCAGTTCAAACCTGGTGAAACTTTCAGAGTTAATGTCTCTTGCTTGCAGAATGGAGGCATTGGGAGAATCACCCGATGTGGAGATCATTGACATTGCTCGACCACCTTGCTTCATAGCCTCAAAGCGAGACCGCGAGATGAATAAGTCCTGGGCAGCCGTGACTGCTTGCTGTAATATTCAAGTGATAAACCTGCGCGAGTGAAAGTTTCGTAAAAATAATGTTTATTGAGTCATTGCAAAGGTGAGTACTATAGATTTACAGGTAGCCGAAAACAGTCAAAACTGAAAATAAAAACTTCAAAAAAAAAAGAAAAGAATGTGCCTTTGTAGATTGGCTCGTGTTGCAAAAAAGGCAAAACTATTGCCTAATCAATCTATTTCATGAGCAAGTTCTGAAACGGAAGAATTCGACTGATTTTTTTTCTGGATGATTAGCAAACAAATCAAATAAATGAACGAACTAACCTGCTCGGTAACATTTCCTACACTTTTTAGTTTTCCCGTACGAAATCTTTCAACAAACTCTCGCACCAAAGGGGCTAGAGGCACCTGAAAAAGCGAAAGCACACCCATGAAAGGTGAAAGTGAAAGTGGTTGACAACTCACAGTTTTCAGATATTCCTCCATTTTCCCCAGCTCCTGTGGATGCTTGTCCATATACGAAACGAGAAGCGATGTGTGCTTATCAAACTAAAATTAAGTTGCACATAAACGAAGGACATAGCAACTTGGGAGATAGGAGATATTACCGAAGGTAAGTCCCGAACAACATTATCAACTAGAATCTGCAATTCTGATCGACCAGTACCATTGACAGCATTTGATTTAGGCAAAACGGGTGGTTCGATAACCTAGGAAACATGACGTAGTCGAAAACAATCCAGAATAATTTCCGAAACACAAGAAAAAATACGAAGAAAAACTAACAGCTCCAGGTAAAGAGACTCCCCATCCAGAAGGATTGATTTTCTGACATTCCGCATAGCAAGCCTGCATGTGCTGCAGGAAATTGACATTCGGTCTTGGAAATCGCTTAAGTCGCTCCAGAAGCTGCAAACAAAGAGAAATGAGTGACATCTGCTGTTTGAAATTAAACACTAACCGACGGCCCCATAACAATCATCGCTTGTTCCGTGCACATTTCAACAGCGCGAATGCCTTCTCGAAAGGCGTTGTTCAGTTCAATTTTCTGAACAAAAAAATAAAGTAGAGCCTTACATAGTATTACTTCAGCAAATCCTGGTACCGGATAAATTTGTTCGTAGAACCGATTAGCCGCCCTGATGTAGAGGTCATTATCAATAGCAGTTTTGTGCTTAGACATAGTATCTGCCCATTTGTAAAGGCACTAAACAATAAACAAAATAATAATCAAACATTGAAATAATTTAGACGTAGAAATTGCTTACTTTTGTGAATAGTAGAGCAGCCTCATCAGGATCCTCTAGTAAACTAGTCATAAGGCACCGCGTACAAGCTGCGAAAAACGTTGTACGTTCGACTCGAAGGCACAGCCGTATTATAAGCGCATTCAAAGTACGACCGAACTGAAAAGGTAAGAGTTGGGAGCAGAGATGTATGTGTGATTTACTAATTACATGACACCGTGAAGGTAGAACAAATTGAGTGAAATAATACATGAAATAAAGAACTGAATAGTAATCATCAGCCCTCATATCCGAAAATCGAATGTTTTCAGTTAGAAAAGCCACACTGGAAAGCGCAAACTTACATGAACAGAGTCTGGCATAGAAGCAAGAGCAGGATCTTGAATCTTCAGCAAAATATGAACAAGTTCCCAGAGCATTCCATTGGTAGCATCTTCGCCTATGTTCAATCGTGCAAACTTGTCCGTAGATGCGGTAAGCTGTAACAACATATATGATGATTCGCAAAACAAAATGTGCTGCATTGAATTTCAAAATTCATATTCAAGTCAAAGATGACCTACTAGTAATTACAAACACTTTTGAGAGGGACAGTGACTAGCAGAAAGGTCTCCACTATTAACCATGATCACAAGAAACAGCTGAATCTACAAAGCTTACAGACAAGTACAAGCGAACACTGCAGACAGTGTAAGCTTACTGGAAACGATTTCTGTGGCAAAGTTCAAGTAGTCATAATTCATAGCACGCGCCATACTTGATGCTTGATCCGCTTCCACTTCGCCATTGGTCAATTTGGTAATCTGACCAGTAGCGAAGGGATGAAGCGGATCAAGAGGATCAAGTATGACGCATGCCATACAAGGCAAAGTAGGCCTTCGCAATGATAAATCTTCATCAGTCATAGAAAAGTAGAGGGGAGGAACTAAAAGAGGTTAAATACTGACACACTATGAACCAATTCTGAAAAGCCGGAAGTAGCCCACAAAGGATATGAAATCCGCTCAAGCCATTTTGAAAATTATTAAGAGGGCAATTTCAAAGAACGAACAAAAAATCTTGTTTGAAAGTTCTACTCACCGGACAGAGAAAATTGAGAATGATTTTCAACAGTTCCTGGCCTTTGTGTGTATGAATACCATGTAAATTTCTAAGTAGTTTCAATTGAGTTCCAACAGTTTGCATAATCATATCCAAGCGCTCTTCGAGCAATCCGCGCTGTTCATCCACAGATAACAGAAATTGGACCTGAGGCATTCAAAAACGGTATATCAAAGAAAATACCAAATTTTCATCATTATCTCACTTGCTCCAGTGCATCTTTTGCAACATCAATGAGACCTGATGAGATGTTCTGAATAACTTTCTCCAGCTGATCCATTGTGTCGATGGAAGAAATCGAAGATGATGATCCACTTCTTCTAAAACACAAAGTACCAATTTATGCCATGATCCACATTTAAATAACAACCGCTGCAAACTAGGCTTTAAATAAGATGGCATACTCAATCCAGAATTCTTGAATCTAACGCATATTCTCTAAAACTTTAGGCACAGCGGTTGGGCGATAAGAAGTGTAAAAAAACGTAGACCCTTTTTTTGCAGCAATAAAAAAACTAGGTGTTCTTCAGGAACTATGCGAATTAAGAAGAACTCGGCAATGCAGAGGGTGGCTAATGGCAAATCGATGCATTTTTTACTTCAAACGAAGTGCACTCTAAGCATAATCGTTTAGCGCTGTCGCCATCCTAGCAAAATTTTGCAATATCTGCAATTAATCGCTGTCCTGGATTTCAAAACCTATGCAAAGTTTTTATGCACCCCTACACAAGCATTGGTGCAACAATGGCCAAAAGCAACGAGTCAGATTGTAAGGCTAATGCGGAAGATACTGCAATATAACAGATGCTAGAGGATGCATATCAAATAGAAGCAAGATGAGAGTCGAAAAAGCTCCAGCAGAAAAATTCAGCGATGTCGAAGTCGAGCTTGAACCAAATTACAAACTTTTGCTTTACCTGCTCTAAATGGCGTTCGTGTTATGCAATTCAGATTTCGAAACGCAAGCTTACTTCAAAGGAGTGGTCGGCATTGGCGGAACGACGGGATGGCGCGTAGGCAGCCGATGTTGGATATTGTCCATTTCTGCGAGCGTCTGAGTCGTATGAAGGGCATTCACGGATCCTTGTTCAACATACTAAAATACCAAATGAACTATTGCTATAAATTTGCAAGTTTCCGGTCAAAATTACATCGTCATCGATTGCGTAGCGAGGATATGTAACAGTTGAATTTAGCCGATCGCCACCTTCATCACCATGTGTGAATGTGCCATTCAAAGCTGCAACTTGTTGTTTTCAAATTTTCTTCTGTGCACGCAAGATATGTAAACCTGGTCTCTCGCTATCAGGGCTATTATCTCTAGTACGGCTCTCGGACTCGTCGCGTCTAGCTGAAGCACTTCGGCTCTGCGGGCGCCGCACTGCTGAACCCGCTGAAATTTTGCCCTTTCGCCAATCGATGAAGAGGGAGCACTTTATTGCTGTGTGTCATTATCATTGCAACCAACTATGAATAAAGAAGCGACCACATCTACACATAATTCATCTCTTCTCACACCAAAAAAGACGACTTGGATTGAAGGTAGCGGCTCGGCAATGACAAGTTTGGGATATTCATCGTTCTCGGTTCCTCTGGATGAGCTAAATCTACGACTGTGCTAGTCTACGACTGTGCTTTGCAGCTCTAAAAGATATCAGTAACCAGCTTTTCCAGACGTGAAAAGTGCTGTTTGTGAAGACGGCGTCATGATCTCTAGAGCGCGATTGGCTCGTGAGTGGAGACACCGCACCCATCTCGTCGGCAACTGGATTATGGCTCTAGCAGCCACTTTCGCAACCCGCCCAGACAGCACTTTTCACGTCTGAAAAAGCAGGTTATCGCTATTTTTTAAAGATGCAAAGCACAGTTTTGGACAGAGCTCATCCAGGTAAACCTAGAACGATGATATCCCAAAGTTGTCCTTCTTCCAAGCTACTGCAAGGAATTTCTTGTTTTTGCATAGAATAAAAAAAGACCACAGCCAACAGCAGCTCTTCACCAGAATGAGCGTTAAACTTTTTACCAGAGCACACTGTGAGTGCTTCATCTTCTAGGCCGATTAGTTTTGAAGAACCGTACTGAACTGTGGGTTTTACATAATCTGCGAAAAAAGTTGATAATAAACTCATACTACCAACATAAAAATAAACAAACATCCAAAAAAGGAAGCCCTGACTGCACTCTCTGATAAAACTCTATGAAGGAAGAGGTCTGCGCTTCAAGAAACCTTTTGCTTGAGCAAATAATCCTGGCAAGTCGAACCGCAAATAATGCACCTGGCACCTTCAAGTTAGAAATCGTTCCGAATGCGATATGAGAATGAGAAAGATCATGACGTTTGTACATGAGATGGATCATAGATTGTATCTTTGACCTTTGGAAAACAGCACAAACGATGAAGCGAAATTCGCTTTTGCACAAACCGCATAATTATTGCTTTTGAGCACATGCTATTGGGTTTGAAACTGGCAGACTTGGTACCCACAAATAAAAGCTATCGACTATTAGAGCATGAATGGACATTGTAATAACAGAATGCAATATTCATGAGAAGGAAATTTATCACTGACCTCCAGGTGGAACAACAATCCTTCCTCCAACCTTCACTGGACCCGAGCCGCGGGAACCCGCACTACCTGGCGCAGCTCCTGATCGTTTTATACGTTCTTCCACCATAGCACGCTCCTTGTCCCCCATTTTACCTACCGCTCGCCACATCTGGTGATTGAAAGATCAAACTAATCACATTTCAATACTGAAAATAATTCTTGGTCGAATATCTAGTAATTTTCCAGTGGACATTTCTAAGCTTGGAAACGCTAACGAAGTGATGCTGGTAAATTTCATTTCATCAGTGACACGTTCATTGTGGATTTAACCAAAAATAAATCTAAGGATTTTCAATGCAATACCTGATCCCCTTCTTCACGATAACAAGCCACAAGACCATTGATGGCAGCATTTCGCACATTGTTATCTCGATCGCTAACGCAAGCAGCTATTGCTTTATGAATCCCCTATAAACACGTTTCTCAACATTTCTGCACGTTCCAGACTAAAGTGAAACACACCAATGACTTCAGTTGCGTGAGCCCAGCGCGCTCGATATACAGTTCCAAAACTAGGAGACATTCTGCACGTTGGCGAGCATTCTTCGTCTTCAACGCTTCTAGAGAAACAAGCATAATTTCGTTTGTTTTGTATGCTTAATCTCCACTAATTTTAATCTGTGTTGAAGGCGTTTGCAAATGAAATGGAGAATAAAACAGAAAAAAGGAAAAACACTGTCATGTAGCTTTAACTCACCCAGAAGAGTCGGGCACATCTTGAAAGGTCCGCAGATGTCGGTCAATTCATCGATGATTTCGCGTACAGCATTTCGCATATTCTCTTTCTGCTCACCGGACTTTAGCAGAAGATGAGGAACGAATGCGTACATTTCATCCGAGGACATGGGCTCTTCAAAAGATTGCACAAGAGCAAGAATCTGCTTGGAAAACTCGAGCACCTAAACGAGTTATTCAAGCCGCAGCGGTGGTCGAGAAAATAATGCACTTACCTTGATCAAAACAGACGGATTCGTTTCGTAAAATCGGAGCGTACACCACTTCAACAAAAGATCACTGTTTTTCACCAAAGCTTCCGGACAAGATTCTGCCGTCTGAGATATTAGAAATGGTTACTGTGACCATTGCAAACAGAGTACCAGTAGGACGATCATCTCTAAATAAAAGCGACAGACCTGGTTAAGCAATTCTATAGCTTTCAAATGCTGCTTGAAATCTTTATGGAAGAGCATTCCCATCAGAGATGCTTTAGCATGACGACCAAGTTGCTCTTGTAGCTGAGCAACATGTTCCTCCGTCGGAAAAGTGAAATTCCATTTCAGAACCTGAGCAAAAAAAAACAGCACTCTCTAAAAGCAACAGAATGCAAAAATAACAAACCTTCAGTGTACGCTCATCTTTGAGTCGTTGCTGCTTCTCATCATTTATAGCAAGCAGCTCATCTGGAGGTTTCCTCACCGGCTCCTCTTCTTCCTCTACCTAGAATAAGTTCACTGTCTGATAAGGAATTGCCGAGCGAAGGTAACAAAGTCTACAAATGAATGACAAAGAGGTAAAATAGAGGAAAAGCCCTGTCTCTACAACCCAGCAGTGTGCAGTCAGATGATATAACGGCGCAATATCCCAGGCATACTGGTTTCTTTGCGTAAAGGAGCTAGCAGTGGGAAGGCCTAACTGTGCGTGTCAGTGATGATGGAGAAAACTATGCTACATTGTGAAGGTACAAAAATAAAATAACTTCGCTAGATAAGTGCGCGATTGTAGGGCTAGAAAATAAACTATGTGCTGATGAATAACCCAGACACAAATGAAGGGAATGAAAACAAAAATGGTCTTATTGCAGAGAAATGTCACCTTCTTGGGCAGCTCTTTCTTCTTCTCTTGTGCCTTCTTCACAGGTGGTGCTCCTCCAGGTGGTTTTAGTGACTGCAGAAACATGATTTAGAAGTATGCTACACAGTGACTCAATTCTGCTAGCCCTCTGTGAACGAGCCATTCGGCAACAAAATCGCCTCACATTTCACAGAAAAACCAAAGCACTTTCAAGTCAAGAAATATGTACGAACAACATCCAGACCTCATCATTATCACCAGCGGCTTCCTCGTCCTGTGCTGAGGCTGGTCGACGTTCTGACGATGATTCACGGTTTGAAGGTGCACCTTTCTTGGATTCCTTTTTGGAAGCAGCCTGCACACTAACACGATAGCAACACAACACATCACGCTGCGCACTGGTGGAGCAACACAAGGATGAAAATAAAGCTACCAAATAAGCACCTGTTGCGAGCAATAGCTGCGAGGCATAAGCAAGAGAAAGAGAGGAAAGTGAGGTAATGCATAAAACTTACATCAGCTTTATGGATTGATTGTACCATCTGCGTGATGACTTCCGGAGGGGCTTCCTCACAAGCTTTCTGGTAGAATTCTTTTATCTGAAAACAATATTGTGAATTTTTTTCCAAAAGACATCTTGTTCCTTACTTTTCCCATTTTCAGTTTGTCCTCCAAAATATCGGATAACAGCGGCAAGCACGGTTTTTCTCCAATAGCTCGCATAGCAGAGCCCAGAGCGGCATAGGATGCATCACGAACTTCGGCGTCCGAGTCAGCAGTATGCTAAAAAAGCCGGAGTGTAGAAGCAAGGCGCTTTGAATACAAAAAAGAGCGATAGTTACAGTGAAAAACGAAGAGCACGGCTAAAGAAAAACGCCATGAAATTCTCAAAAGCCACGCAAATTCTTTCTTGATGATAGCGTGGCGATTGATCTAATTCTTGCGAGATGAATTTTTTCGTTTTACTCGAGCTTCATGTCATGAAAGAGATGCACATATAGATTTTAGACTTGTCATGCGTCAACGAGTCAAGAATGGTATCTTGCATATCAGTACCCAAAGCCCCACAGCCTCTACCCATCTTTCTAACCAAGTAATAATATCACACTTAACAAAACAAGAAATGTATCAAAGCCGATTTAAGCACAAAACAAACCTTTATCAATAACGGTGCAATGGCCTTTAAGGTCTTCTTGGGCATGGTTTGACTGTTGTACATCTTGAAAATTCTGCAAATATGAATATGTGCAAATAGATAGCCCTCAGTGAATCATGAAAAGAACGATGATGCACACCTGTACAGAAAAAGATCGGTTTGAATCTTAATATGCGGATTTGGCTTCTCAAGGGCGGCTATGATGTCATCACCCATGGCTTCCAATGTAGTCTAAAACGTAAACAATCTATATGACACTTTTCTTTGAGTTCGTGTCTAGGCTGTTGTTTCAACGAAGATCATTCAACGCGCTAATTTAAACAGAAGCAAAATATCGCCTACAGAGAGAAACTAAGTATGAGGGAAATAAAAGTAAAATCGGGACTTGAGCAATGATCATACATAATCAGTGGCCGTATTCATCAACGAACAACCCAGTGGGTTCCCGAACCCAGTTTAGTGCTTTAGATGAATATATCGAATCTACTCCAGGGTAGAATCGATATTCATCAAAAGCACTAAATGGGTTCCGGAACCCATTGGGTTGTTCGTTGATGAATACGGCCACAGAAGAACAAAGAGCGTAAAGAAAAAAAAAACAAGATTTGCGATTCGCTGGATAAAACCTTACCGTAGCAGCGATTGCATCGATACACTCCACCAGTGGATCCCTGAGCAAGGGCTTTTTCTCCTTAAATTTATCGAAGATTACTGGAACGACTGCTGGTGCATGTGGGGCAAACTGGAAATTCATTTTTGTTGAAAATAAAGCATAGTCAGATAGAGCAACAACCTTCTTGCGAAGACCATCAGCAACGCATTTCATGCACTTAGCGGCAAGGGCGGCAACATTGATATTGGCATCTTTTTCAATAATCTGGATCAAGACAAAAAATTCCAAACATCACGGATAATGGAGAAACACAGTGCTTACCCTTTTCAACAGCGAAATGTGCTCCCCGTAAGAAGCTTTAGGATCTAGCCTGGGATTAGCAGTTAGAAGATCCAAGAAAGCCTAAAAAATTATTTTCGAACAGTCAAGCACAAAGGCAAAGAACTAACCTGTAGCGCATCCCTTCTCTCCGTCCACTTCTTGCTTTCGATGTTGGTGCTGAAATCAGCTGGAAGCTTTGCTATGACGTCAACAGGATCCAACATGTCCCAAGGATCTACCTCCTTCGAGAAGAAAAAACATATTAGCCAAGGAGTAAAACCCAAGGCTGGTAGTTATCGGAAATACCTTGGGAGGGGCTGCGGTTGAGACAGCTGATGATGGGGCAGCTTCCGAACTTTGTACCTCTTCTGAGGAGGTTTGCGCCCCACTCCTCGTCGAGGCTTGAGCTTGTATTTCAGCATGCGCTTGGGAAGCTTTCTCCGCGAATTCAGTGATCTGAAAACCGGGTTTAGTTCAAAATGAGATTATCTATTTAATTTTGTGTTTTAAAAAAGGTTATAATCCTGCTGAGCACGCGATTTATCAGGATATTATAGATTCTGCGAACAGTTCCCTTTCACACTGCGATGGACAATTCGCTGGCAACATGCATCAGGCTCAGCTATGGTGTGGTATCAACACAACACAATTACTATCGCCCATGTGGAAATGTGAAATGAGAGCTTTAGCGAGATATCGCTCTATAACTTGCTTCCCAAAAAATCATACTCCGATTCGGCATTCTTTGAGAAACAAATCTCGAAATGTTCGCTCAATGTATCCATTTGTGATGTTGCATACTCACTCTTTTCATCTTTGCCTCATCATTGCTAAGATCGCCCAACATCGATCGCAAATTTCTCTCTCCAATAAGTCGTTCAATGGCGCCGAAGACACATAAAGAAGCTTCGCGAACGTCATGATCGGCGTCACCCGAATGCTTCACCAACAGCGGCACTATCGCTTTCACCAGTTTTTTAGGCGTCTGAAACATTCCTTGCGATTATAATTTTCCAAAGTGCACGAGGGCTCCCGTTTGCGACAACAAACGAGTGTATCGACTAATGAATACATTAATCTTGAAACGACTGCTGTCATTAGCAAGACGGCAAAAACACAAAAAATACAGCCCATGGAAGATTACAATAAACTTACTTTGTCAGTAGTTAACATATTAAATTGTCTATATAAGAAATTATCCACTTGTTGTTTGATCTGAGGATTAGGTTTTCCCATGCTTGTGACAATTTCTTCCATGATAAGTTCGAGTGAGGCAATCTGTAACAGGAAGCTTGGAAAATCGAAAAAAAAGAGAAACCATAAAAAAGAAAAAATCGAAAAACTAACGGTGGCTGCGATTGCATCTGCACACTCAACCAGAGGATCTTTGAGCAGCGGTTTCTTCTCCTTCAGCTTTTCGAAAACTACTGGGATAATCTGAGATATTAGTATAATTTTCAATAAACTTCGTTAAAGTTTTGATGAAAAACTAACCGACTGCGCATAAGGAGCAAATTTTGTCCTCAAGCCCGTAGCAAAGTGCTTGATACATTTAACAGTCAAAGCACACACATTGATATTTGCATCTTTCGCGAGCATCTTTAATTTAAATGGTAAAAAAAAAGATGAAAAACTGTAACGAAACATACGGTCTGCAGGTTCCCAAGGATTTCTCCATAGCTCGCTTTGGTTGAAAGACGAACGTTAGCTTCAAGCAGAGCGGCTAAAGCCTCCAATGCTTCTTTTCTTTCCTGCCATTTCTTCGATTCTCGCAATTCATCGAAATTAGGTGGGAGTTTCGGCAATATGTCAACTTCTTCTGCGAAATCCCATTCATCCATACCTGTAGAGAACAAATATTTCAAACAAAATGCCATCAAACACGTACAGCATCCACGTGATCAAAACAACCGTGAAATCAAGGAAAATATTTCGACATGATTTGATTACAAGGTTGCCAGCAAAGTGTCAAGCAACGAGGCATATCACAGCTACGCTAAGCAGTTGTATATCGATTTGTCTTCCCATTTCAAACCGTAAACGTTAAAAAATGCAGAAATACCCGCAAGCAAACAAAAACCACTGCCGAAATTCTCAGAAGAACTGAAGGATGCAGGCATGCCGTGCACGTCAAGATTGGCCGTGGAGCGCGGAGGTTTGCTACAAGTCATATAGAGAGCCACAATGAATGTTGGTTATAATCTGGTCCGAATCGAATGATTATTCGACACTCGATAAATCATTCAAATGCGAATGATTCCAAAATTCGAATATTCGAAAATCTGAGATTTCGAATAATATTCGATAGTCGAATATTTGAAAATCTCAACTTTCTAATATTGATGGTCGAGTAATCGATAATCATTAATTCGATTTCAGATAAATCACCGGAAATACCGCAGGACAACAAATTTGCCGAAGTTCTGCAGGATTTTGTTCTCTATTGCGAAAATAAAAACGTTGAAAACCGGAATTTCCGCAGAACCTAATTCAAAATCCTGCGAAAATTCCGAAAAATGACAGAGGTTCCGTAGCACTTTAGCTTGCCAGAACTTCCGCAGGACTTTGAATGTGTTGTCTCGTGATGTTGCCTCCCAACAACTAGAGTGCATTATCGAACATGTCAGCCGTAGCGTAGAGGATAGTAAGTGGGTCTCACAGTCAATAGAGTGAGGTTCAAATCTTGCTGCGGTGTTCTCTTTTGCTGTTGTGGTCGGCATTCTTCGGAACTTCCGCAGGATCTCATTTCGGAACTTCCGCAGCACATTTACGGAACTTCCGCAGGTGACATGGCGGAACTTCCGCAAGCGCTCTGCGGAAGTTCCGGTCATTTGTTCGAGCTCATCGTGGCGTGGGGGTGACATTGGGTGTGAACTGCGATGCACAGCAGAGTGTATACTCTGGCAGGGCCTCCCAAGCTGTGAAGGAGTTCGACGTTTCCGATTTCGGCCGGATACCTAGCTAAGAGCCGGCCAGATCCCCCGCCGTTTAAGTTTTTCCGGTAGCTAGGCGGTCCCCTCCCTGCTCCACACGCGGGTAGCGACCACCCCGTGGAAATCAAGAGTTAGCCTAGTAAGTCTGCTCTTGTAGGGGAAAAATTTCCATTACTCGCTCAGAAAAGAGAAGAGACTTAAACCCTGCACATCGGATCTCGCCTACGGCGCCGGGTGGTAGCAAGAACAATGTCAGGGTACTCAGGGCGCCTTTCGGATTGGACAAAAACGACACGTCTGCCCGGACGACACGCCAAGGAGGCTGCCTCATGCTCTGCACCTACAACGCCAGGACAGTCTCCACAAACGCCGACCTCCACGCTCTATTCGACGCTGCAGAGCACATCAAGTACCATGTCCTCGCTTTGCAGGAATCGAAGTCTAGGAAGAAGGACGTGCGACAGATGAGTGATGGGACCCTCATCATTCGTGGTGAAAAGATTCCATCACGAAACGTTGGAGTCGTTGGCTTCGTCGTCCACTCATCTATCTCCATCTCGTCGATTGGCCTGAGATCCTGTTCACCTCGACTAGCCATCCTACAACTACGACCTCCACGTCGGAAGACCATCAGCATCATCAACTGCTACTCACCAACATCAACAGCTGACATCAGCAGCTTTCTACGAAGTGTGGAGCAGGTCGTCCGCAACGGGAAATCCTTTTACAAATTTGTGGTGGGCGATTCAACGCGAAGATCGGGATGCTTCTAGAAGAGGAATATAAGATCGGGAAGTTGGATCTGGGCTCCGGAACGAAAACGGCAACCGTCTCGTTGGGCTTCTCTCCGCCGCACGACTCTTCCATGGAAATTCCATCTTCATGAAGAAAGAACATCGCCGGTGGACATGGGAATTGCCCAACGGAACGACTCATGCGGAGATCGACCACATTCTCACCAACCGAAGGGGAAGCTTGCTTGATGTCTTAGTAGTTCCATCCTTCTGCAGTGGCTCCGATCACCGTCTCCTTTGAGCGAAAATACGATTCAATCGAAAGTTGGAAAAGAAGGTCTGCCATAGCGCCGCAACAAGGAAAGAAGTCGTTTATGACGGTAACAGGTTAGGAGAGCTCATATCAAGTTGTGACTGGGCCATCGAAGAGGACCCAACGTACGACTAAGACCGGCTTTTAGAAGGATTGCGAGCCTGCGGAGAGTGTGCCTCAAAGACTTCTGAGAAGGACTTGAAACGCATTTCGAAGGACCAAGGAATTGCTCGAAAGAAGAAAATTTCTGAGGCAGGATCCGAAAGCAGCACATTTCGAGCGACTGATAGCCAACGCCAGTTGCAGAACAGCTTTGTAGGAGGATCTCAGGAAGTACATGCAAGATAAGATACTGGAAGCAACCGAAAGACGAAGTCTTAAGAAGTTCCGAAGGGACTCTGTGAATATCACGTATATCGCTGGCTGCGCTATTAAAACGAAGGCGGGACCCCGTCTTCTTCCCGATATAAGATGGAATCTATCGCGAAGAACTGCTACACCAACCTCTTCCGCTCATCAACACCCGTGCCGATGCCCGTTGTTCCCACTGGAGAAGTACCACCACGAATTCTACCTGCTGAAGTGCGCAACGCCATTCAGACCATGAAGACGTCCACGGCTCCAGGACCAGACCATCTTTCCGTCGAATTTCTGCGAACCGGAGGACAACGTCCACATGAGATTCTTGCGTCGCACCTGATATCTTATCTTCAGAAGGAAAGGATTCCCGACCAGTGGAGAACGTCAAGAACCGTCCTTCTCTTCAAGAAGAATAAACTTGAGGATCTTCGGAACTACCGTCCAATATGCCTGCTGAGTGTGCTGTACAAGCTTTTCACGAAGATTATCCTTTCTCGCATATCAAGGACACTGGATGAAGGCCAACCCCAAGAACAAGCTGGATTTCAAGGACTTAGCTGCATAGACCCATTCAGACGGTTTCGAGGGTCATAGAAGTCTGCCAGAAGTACCGACTGCCTCTCGTCGTAACCTTCGTCGACTACGAGAAAGCCTTCGACAGCGTCGAAACGAACGCCATCCTGTCAGCGCTAGTCGATCAAGGAGCAGCTTGCGTGAGGACTTAGCCGACTGCTACAAGGGCTGTACAACGCAATGCAGCTGTTCCATCGCCCTCTGACCATCGCAATCGGAAAGGGGGTTCGACAAGGCGATACATTCTCGCCGAAGCTATTCATTCAACGCGGCCTTGCAGTGGGTGATGAAGTCACTGGACTGGGACGAGGGAGGTATATGATTTGATAATAGATTCTTGACGAACCTTCGTTTTTCAGAGGACATCTCGATCAGTATCATTGAAGCAGAGACGATACTGATGGAACTCAACGAAGCAGGGAAGAAGATCGGATTGCGAATAAATCGGAAGAAGACTCAGTTCATGAAGAACGCCCTTTGTGAAGATGCAGAAGTGGAATTGGAAGGCACGTTCATCATAGAGACGTCTTCTTACGTGTATCGACGTTCCATGAACATGGAGAACGACTTGAGGGAAGAACTTAATAGGAGAAGAAGAGCAGCCTGGGCCGCTTTCGGGCCTCTGAAGGAAGTCACCGACCAGTTGACGGACCCGGAGCTTCGTGCCCACCTCTTCGACTCAATCATTCCCCGGGGCTCTATTACGCAGCTGAGACTTAGGGAGATGCTGTAGCCACGTCCAAAGCTCTACAGACCACCCACAGAGCGCTTGAGCGCATTCTTCTGAAGATGACCCTCCACAGACAACATCTTGTCGGACTTCGCAGTACAGATATGAGAGAATGTCCCGTCTTTGTGACCCAGCGGAATACGTTGCGAAAGCGAAACATCGATGGGCCGGTCACATTATGAGAAGAACAGACGACAGGTGTACACTAAGAACACCGGAGTGGATTCCTCGCGAAGCCAAACGTCCCCGAGGAAGACCTTCAACGAGATGGGCAGACTTGTTCGTGGGACGGATGGGCCAGCTGAGAAATCAGCTGGATACGATTTTCGCCCCTGAATCTACGCCGCCCAAAAGCGTGAAGACAGGCCATTTAAGTATCTAAGTAAGATGGAATATTCGAATATCCGATGAACACCGAATTCGAAAATTCGATAAGAATTGATTACTCAAAAATTTGATGGCCATCGATTATTCAGAAATTCGATATCCACAACATATACGGGATGTCCCAAGAGTATCTGCACATTGCTTGATCGCTAACATCTCCCGAAGGCTTTTGCCACCCTTGGGGCAACATACTGTGGGGATGGTTTTAGCTTATAATTACAGCAGAAAGCGAATCACCCATGTTTTTCTTATTGTGTTATCACGGTAGGAACTCCACTCCCAGCATATAGAGCAAATGCGACATAAAAATCCAAAGTAATTTGAAAAAAGTCTAAAATCTGTGTAGCAGTTTTTACATGTGCTGATTATACTGCGCACGAGTTATCAAGCTTTTCATATGTGCAATCACTTTCCTAGATATTGAAAACATTTATTACGGTGTACCTGGCATAAGTTGTGAAAAAGACATTAATGTTAAGTGCAAATTTCATAATTACTAAGGCTCCTAAAAGTTTGATGTAAGATTTTCGGTTTTTTTGATTCCCTTTGTGAACGGCAAGCGTTTCGATGTCTCAAATCCGGGTGGAGGATATTAGGTCGCCGAAAAAGGGCGGTCCCCGCGGTCATTTGCGACAAATACGCGCCCTTGTGCATGCGCGGACATGCGTTCCTGCAGGGAATCCGCGCGGGACTCTTCCAAATACGGCGACCTAATGTCCTCCACCCCTCAAATCCCTCTTCAATTTTTCCGCGGTAATTTTACAACAGTGAAAAGCGATCGATAAATCGCTCCATAGTAAGTCTAAGTTGATGTCAGCCCACAGATCTGCATACTGTTCGGACCCCTGTGTATCAATCCACAACTCTCACTGTATAATCTGTTTGAAGTTCGAAATCTTGTCACAACCGTCACAGGTGTACGCTTTTAGGTCCTTAAGTCTCTTCACGTCACAACTGACCGTTTTTCATCGCAAACTCTAACATAAAAGTGTATTCTTGATACTTACATGGAACAATTCATTTAGATGTTTTTGGTCTCTCATAGGGTCTCACTGGCAAAAGTTATTCTGATAGTATTCGAAAATCGAATGATATTTGAGAATATAATAATATTCGAAATTCGAATAACGAGTGATATTCA